TTGACTTGGTGTTGTCAGCACCACGCTCAGCCAGTGAGCGAACCGGCCATCCCTATATGGGATCCGAACCCGCGGCCTTGGTGTTATCAGCACCGCACTCTCCCGAGTGAGCCACGGGCCGGCCTTTCACCTGGCAAACTTCTATTTGCCCTGCAGCTACCTGCCAGGCCAGGTTAGGCACCTTCTCTGGGCTCTGACAGCTGCGACCTCCTGGTCATGTGTCCGTCTCTCTGATTGGATTGTGAGCCTATGAGGTTTTGACCTGGTCTTTTTTGACCACTTCTATGTCTCCAGCTTCACCCGGCACACAGTAGGTACTCAGAAAAGAATTTTAATATAGTAATCCATTCTAATGTCATATGAAATATTTTTGGTATAAACGTTCATTGGAATTAATTATAATTATAAAATAAGATATACATCATAATTAAATTATTATTTTTTATCATATTAATAATTATATGAATTATTACATAATATTATAATTATATAATGTATAAAATATATATCAACTATACACAATGTTATAATTTATTATATTGTCATATGTTATAATTATGTAATTATTATATATTATGTATCAATTATTCACAATATTGTAATTATAAATATCCTATTATATGATTAATTAATATACTCTAATTTATAAATATCTTATTATAATATTATATAGGGGTCCGGGCCGTGGCTCACTCGGGAGAGTGCGGCGCTGGTAGCACCAAGGCCGTGGGTTCGGATCCTGTATAGGGATGGCCGGTGCGCTCACTGGCTGAGCGTGGTGTGGACCACACCATGCCGAGGGTTATGACCCCATTACCGGTCAGAAAAAAATATATATTATATAGGTAATAATAGATATAAATTATATATTTCATACAATTATTAAAATTATCTAATATAACATATTTAATATACAATGATTTAGTATAAAATCATGCATACGGGCTGGCCAGTTAACTCAGATGGTTGGAGCGAGTTGTTATAACGCCAAAGTGAAAGATCCACTGGCCAGCCACCAGAACCAAAAAAATATGCATTATAAAAGTTATGTAACATACATAATTTTTTTTTTGTCTTTTTTGTGACCAGTAAGGGGATCGCAACCCTTGGCTTGGTGTCGCCCGCACCGTGCTCAGCCAGTGAGTGCACCTGCCATCCCTATATAGGATCCAAACCCACGGCGGGAGCGCCGCTGTGCTCCCAGCGCTGCACTCTCCCGAGTGCACCACGGGGCCGGCCCTGTAACATACATAATTTAATGTAAGATCATTTAAAGTGAAATGTCCATTTTAAACTAATTAATATAAAGCTGCTTTACGATGTAAATTTTTAATGGAATAATACAGTGACAGTCACAGCAATTCCTTTGCACCGTATTTAATCGTGTCCAAGAGAGCAGCAGGACGAGGATGCTAATTTAGGGACATATCAGCGGAAGCTCAGAGAGGCTAGGCAGCTCTCCCGAGGTCACACAGCAAGGCAGCAACAGAGCAGACATTGGCACTCGGGACCGCAGGTGTCCCGGGCAGGCCCCCGGCTAAACGCTCTGGCTCTCGGCAGGTCTTCATCGCCCAGACGGTGCTGCAGAGCCCCCCGGCGATGAGCCCCGATGGCCACCTGTCCCGAGCCACCGAAAAGCAGCTGCTCATCTACCTGCGTGTGGCCACCTGGAACCAGATCCTGGACCCCTGGGTATACATCCTGTTTCGCCGCTCCGTGCTCTGGCGCTTCCAGCCCCGCCTCAGCACCCGGTCCCGGTCGCTGTCCCTACGGCCCCAGCTCACCCGGGGGTCCGTGGTGAGTGTGGGAGGCCGGCCGAGCACAGCCCCCTGCCAGCGTGTCTCCCGTTAAGCCCAGGAGCCCGGCGTGCTGGATGCGCAGAGTTTCAGCAGCAGGATAATGGGTCGTTTTCTATCCAACCTGGGGACCCCCAACTCCTCCCTGAACCCCTTTCCAAGGCCTCTGCTGTCCCTCAGCCGCATTGTCACTCTGATCCCCGTTCTCCTCTGTTAGCCCCACCATCCCCACTCCGAGGTCCCTCTTCCCTCCAAGCCCAGGAAGCGCGTTTGGGGGTGTCAGGAGGGTGTCTGGGAGAAATGCGTCTCGTAAGGCTCAGGGTGGGTGAGTCCTTCCCTTCCAGAAATCCTCCTGCCACAGGGGTTCTGAATACGCCCTGCTTGCTGGGCTGCGTGGACTCCTTTTGAAACCCCAACCTGGGGAAGCCCTGTCTGGAAAAGACTGAATGTAGGCGGGAGGACACCCCCTCTCTTGCCAAAATATATCTTTGCCCCGGCTTTGTTTCCCTTTGGGTCCAGAAGCCGTGGCCCTGCCCCTGTCTGGAAAAGACTGAATGTAGGCGGGAGGACACCCCCTCTCTTGCCAAAATATATCTCTGCCCCGGCTTTGTTTCCCTTTGGGTCCAGAAGCCGTGGCCCTGTAGACTTTCATGCATCCGAGGCTGTTCAGCTCAGGCGGCAGCACCTCGTTTGTTGAGCGTTTACTATCTCCCTGAATTCTCCCAACAACCCTTCAGGGGACCTTCTAGGATTAAACCCATTTGGGAGTAGAGAAAAAGAGAGGAAGATTAAAGCGTGGTGCTGATAGCATCAAGGTCAAGGGTTCGGATCCCTGCACCAGCCAGCTGCCAAAAAAACTTAAACAGAGGAGAGACACACACGAGTCCCCAAGGTGAAGCCCCTGCCTCCTCCGCTCGGACCCGGTTTGTTTATCCATTCATTCACCCTGCGACATTTCAAACTCCCCAGTGCCTTGATCAGCGCCTGTCCACGGCAGGCGCTCAATAAACACGGGTGGAGCCGACCCCTGACTGCGTTTTTATGGAGCGCCTTGGATGTGCCGGCGTATAAGGATGTGCCCACGCAGTGCTGTGCATACAGTAGGCACTTAAGCATTCAGTGTTGCCAAATTTTCACCCAGCCCCCAGCTTCCCAGCCCTGCCCTATCCTTTGCTCCCCAGCAAAGTCCCCCCAAAATGACACACCCGGCTGCAGGGATGGGAGGTGCCTTTATTTCCCATGCGTCCTTGAGGTGCATGAGAAGGATCCGCCTCCTGTCCCCCCCTTTTCCTCCCCAGACTGGATCTGCTTACACCTCCCAGAGCCAGGCCCCAGTGAGACCAGTGAAACCAAAGCCCCTGTTTCCATCCCCCAGCCCCTGCCTGCTGGGGAACAAGGTCACCTGTTTCTGGGGGACCCAGGCTGGCAGGGACAGGAGAGGATGGGGACCATGCTGTTTCACACCCAAACTACACCCCTGCACTGGGGGAGGGGAGCTGAGTCCCAGGGCACAGGGGAGGGGGCAGGCCCCTGGGCTAGGGTCTCAGGGGCTGGCTGGGGATGCAGGTGGGGGCAGGACTTGGGGTGACAGAAATGGCCGGTGGGGAGACTTCTGGGGTCCCAGCTGGGGCTTGGGGTAAAGGGCTGGCTTCTGGGGGGTTAAGGAGACCTGCAGCTGAGGGGCCAGGTCAGTGGCTGGTGGGCCTGGGACTGGGTCAGGGCTGGCCTGGGTTCCAAGGACCAGATCATGGGGCTGAGGCAGAAGGACTTTACTAGGGGCTGGAGTGGGGGCTCTGGGTGGCAGGCCTGGGGGCTGAGGTCGGGCTGGGGCAAGGGGATGAGGCTGGCTTCCAGGATCAAGGCTCGGGGTCTGTGGGTCGAGCCCGTTTCTTGAGCGGAGCCAGATTCTTGAACTGGGCTGGGTTCCGGAACTGGATTGGGTTCCAGAAAGAGGCTGGGGTCTGGAAGTAAGGTGGGCTCCAGAACTGGGCTGAATTCTTGCGCTGGTCTGACTCCCAGAGCTGGGCTGGGTCTCAGAGCTAAGCTGGATGCCAGAACTGATCTGGGTTCTGGAGCTGGCTGGGGTTCCAGGTACAGACTGCATTCTGGAATGAAGCTGGGCTCCAGAGCTGGGCTGAATTCTTGAGTCACTCTGGGTTTCAGAGCTGAACTGAATCCTGGAACTGGTCTGGGTTCTAGAGCTGAGCTTGGCTGCAGAGCTGGGCTGAGTCTCCAAGCTGAGCTGGGTCTCAGAGCTGGATTGGGATCTGGAGTGAAGATGGGCTCCAGAGCTGGGCTGAATTCTTGCACTGGCATGGGTCTCAGAGCTGAGCTGGGCTTTGGAACTGGTCTGAATTTTGGAGCTAGGTTGGGTTTCAGAAACGAGGTTGTTTCCAACACTGGTCTGTTTCCCAATGTCTGACTGAATCCCAGAGCTATCTTGGGCTGAGACCTGGAGCTGGTATCTAGAACTTGGCAGGGATTTAGGGATGAGCTCAGTCCCAGAGGTTGGTTGAGCTCCTAGGCAGCGCTGGGTCTTGGAGCTGGTCCTGCTCTCAGAACTCAGCTGGACTATGGAGCTTAGCTCTGTTGCTGCACTGGTCTGGGTCTCAGGACTGGATCGAATTCCAGAGTTTAGCTGGATTCTAGAACTTGGCTGGGTCTCAGCAACTGACTGGGTTTTGTAGCTGGATGGGATTTCAGAACCACTCTGTTCACCAGAACTGAGCTGAGTTCTGGAGCTGGACGGGGTGCTTACCCTGGACTGAGCTCTGGAGGTTGGCCAGGCCCCGTAGTTGGTCTGGGTCCCAGAGGTGGTCTGTGTTCTGTAGAGAACGTGGAGCTCAGAACTAAGCTGAGTTCTGGAGCTGGGCCTTGCTTCAAAGATGGATGGGTTTCCAGAGCTGCTCTGAATACTGGAGATGGGCCTGGTTGTAACACTAGGCTGAGTTTGAGATCTGGGCTTAGTCTCAGAGCTGGACTCATCGCTGGAGCTAGTGTGAGGTGCAGGATGAGGGTGAGTATTTGGGAGCACCTGGGATTTGGCTCTGGACTGGGCAGCAGCATGTCTCTGCGTTCCTGAGCTGCTCTGAGTACGTGCACAGGGTTGGGTTTGGGAGCTGTCTTTGAACCCTGAGCTGGCTTGGGTTCTATAGCTAAGCTGCTTCTTGAGTCTCATGTGGGTTCCAACACTAACTTGTGTTCTGGAGCTGGACTGAGTGTCGAGGGGTGGCTGTGTCGTGCAGTCATCTCGAGTGTCAGAGTCAGGTGGAGTTTTATGGCAAGGCTTGGTCTTAGAGCTAGGCTGGGTTCCAGTATCGGGACTGATCTCTAAGCTGGGCTGACTCTTAAAACTTGTCAGGGTTCCAGAACTTGGCTTGATGTCAGGGCTCGACTGGATTCTAGAGATGAGCTTAGCGTCAGAGCTGGCCTGGGTTCGAGAACAGGGCTTGGTCTGAGAGCTGGGCTGGATTGTAGAGCTGGGCTTGGTCTCAGAGCTGAGATGAGCTCTAGAGCTGGACTTTGTCTCAGAGCTGGACTGACTTCTAGAGATGGGCTTGGTCTCAGAGCTGGCCTGATTTCTAGAACAGGACTTGGTCTCAGAGCTAGGCTTTGTTTCAGAGCTGAGTTCGGTTGTAGAACTGGGCTTGGCCTCTGAACTGGCCTGAGTTCTAGAACAGGGCTTGGTTTCAGAGCTGAGCTGTGTTGTAGAGCTGGGCTTGGCCTCTGAACTGGCCTGGGTTCTAGAACAGGACTTGGTCTCAGAGCTAGGCTTTGTCTCTGGGCTGAGTTGGGTTGTAGAACTGGGCTTGGCCTCTGAACTGGCCTGGGTTCTAGAACAGGGCTTGGTTTCAGAGCTGAGCTGTGTTGTAGAGCTGGGCTTGGCCTCTGAACTGGCCTGGGTTCTAGAACAGGACTTAGTCTCAGAGCTAGGCTTTGTCTCTGGGCTGAGTTGGGTTGTAGAACTGGGCTTAGTCTCTGAACTGGCCTGGGTTCTAGAACAGGGCTTGGTCTCATAGCTGGGCTTGGTCTCTGAACTGGCCTGGGTTCTAGAACAGGGCTTGGTCTCATAGCTGGGCTTGGTCTTGGAGCTGGGCTGGGTTCTAGAGGAGGGCTGGGTTCTAGAGCTGGGTTGGGTCTCTGAACTGGATTGGGCTCTAGAGATGAACTTGGCCTCAGACCTGGGCTGGGATCTGGAGCAGGGCTGGGCCTCAGGCACTGGCCAGGAGGGCTGGGGTAGGGGGCTGGGCTCCGGGCTGGGGCTGCGCTCAGCCCCGGAGCAGACTAGCCACAGGCCTCCCTGGCCTCGCCGATGGCGGCCCACACCTCCACCACAAACTCGTCCGGGAAGGCAAACTCTCCCAAGACGGAGTCCAAACAGCGTGCAAACTCCTGGACGCTCTCCGTCTTCTTGGACGTCTCCACCATGGTGGACGCTGCAGGCCGTGTGGGAGGGGACATGGGTGAGGGCGCTCCCTGGGCCTCAACTTCCCACTGGGACCCCGGCTCCTCCCACGGACTGGCCTCCCCCCAGGGACCTCCCAGCTTACCCTGGCCCCTTACCCAGCTCTGGGTCCCGAATGCCCATGTAACTCTCCAGCAGGTCATCCACCTTCCGTGATGCTTCCTCCTCAAATTCACTAGGCTGGGGGCAGAGAGGAGGGAAGCAGAGGGTGAAAAGCCCCTGATCCCCCAGCCCTTGCGAGCCTCACAGGAGCCAGTGCTCCGGCTACCACGCTTGTTGCCTTGCCTTTCAACAAGGACCCATTTCGCAGGCAGGAAAACTGAGGCTCAGAAAAGAAGAGGGTCCTATCCAAGGCCACACTGAGTCAGCAGCAGAGCTCCAGGTGCAAGAGCCCTGGAAGACCCCCGTCCCCTTCACTCACCACCTCCTCCACCGTGGCGGCCCCCCCAGCACGGAGCCGCAGAGTCTCTCTCCCGCTGCTCATTTTGGCTTCTATGGGGCATTTGCTGCTACGGCTCCTCTGGCCAATCATATCTGGAGGGGACAGATGGGGACAGGCATGTGTTCTGGGTGGACCCGGATCTTTGTAAACACTGGGAAGCCACCAGCTGAGCCTTTCTAGGAACTTCTTTTTTCCCTGGTGTCTGGCCGGTATGGGGATCCAAACCCTTGACCTTGGTGTTACCAACGTAGAACCTTCTTACCCTTCAAAGTCCTTCTTACGCCACGGGGGTGAATCTTCAGAGACCCCATTTGAGATTCCACCCTTCCCACCCCCAGGAAACTAAGTCACGAGTCCAGAACGAGCCATTATAACAGAGCGAGTCTAGAACCAACGTCCCAATCCTGTCCCACCCTGGACGGTGCCCCCAATCTCCCTCCTCTTAAAATGACTCTCTAGAAGGAACTGGAGGGTCCCTTTAGATAAGTCCTCGCCATAGAACTCTCTTCCTTTTAGGCGTGGCTCTGGGTGTTCACAGCCACGATACAAGGCAGGTGGAAAAAGCAGAGCACCACTCTCTGGAACCTCTTTCCAAATGTGCCAGGCCACTACTAGCAACTCTCGCTCTAGAACAGTGCCACACAAAGGGCCGGTCCGTGAGATGAGGGGAGCGTGCCCAAACGTCCATTCTGAATTGGCACATGGCTTCCTTCATTGAGAAAGTCTTACCAGGAAAGAGAAAATACTGGAGTACACAGGATGTGTACGCTCTAGAGCGAGATGCTCAGCTGGGCGGTGACTCTGCTCCCCCTCTGCAGGTGGCACTGGCAATGTCTGGAGACATTTTTGGTTGTCACAGCCAGGGGGTTGCTCCCGGCCTCTGATGGATTGGGGCCAGGGACGCCGCTCAGCACCTGCAGTGCCCAGGGTGTCCCCACCCCGGAGAACAATCTGGCCCCAGTGTCCACAGTGCTGAGGTTGAGAAACTGTATTCTAGAGCAAGCCTCTTACCTTATGAGCCAGTCGCCAACTTCTCTTTGAAAAGCACCATTCTAGAACTTACTTTGAAAACCATTCTCTGGAACGCACCATAACCTCAAAGCACTCATTTAAAAGCTGCCAGCCCGGTGACAGAGTGGAATTAGCCACCTCCTGCTCCCATCCCACTCTGCCCAAACTTTCCCTGCGTCCCTCCCCGACACCAACTGACTATATAACAATCTAGAAACTACCTACCTGTTCCTGACACAGTGCCAGGAGCTTGCTGTCATGAACCAGCTACATCTAGAACCTTCCAGCCTGTGCCAGCCCCCCACCTTCCACTGTCCCAAGCATCCGGAGAATGCATTCTCCAGAAGAGCTCCCCACCCGCCTGCCCCCTGGGCCCCAGGTGGCCCTCACCGAAGGCTCTCTTGGGCTGCACCAGGCGCAGGGTGAAGGGCTGTGACTTGGGCAGCTCCCGGAGCATCTTGGCCACTTCATAGTGGCGGCAGCCCACAATGGAGTGGTCGTTGATGGCCTCGATGCTGTCACCCACACACACTGCCTCGATCCGGTTGATGATGCTGCCTTCCTTAATCCTCTGCAGAGGACCCAAAGTCACTCACTCATGAGGCCAGTCACTCTCCTGGGGTCCCCAGAGCCCACTTAGACCCAGAGAGGGGCAGTTGCTCAGCCCAGGTCACCCAGCAACCCCTGGGTACCTTGATAAAGGCGTAACCGGCCCCATTGTCCGTGATGGTCAGTCCCAGCGCGTCCTCCGTCTTGGTGACTTCTACCTCTTTGGTCTCGCCGCGCACGTGGGCAAAGATAAAATCCTCCAGCCCTATCTGGCCGCCCAGAAGTTTCTGCATGTCTACTCTGTGGCTGTTGAGGGTGCAGAATAAGATCTGTCCAGAGGGGAGGGGGAGCTCGGAATTAACAACAGTCTCATCAACCGGGGTGATGGGCCCAGAAGCCCGATGGGGAAACTGAGGCCCGAAGAGGCACGACACTGGTCCAGGCACCGGAGGCCAGGATCCCAGCCCATGGGAAGTGGCAGGGTGTGGTGCCCCCCAGAATGGGGGGGGAGATGAGAAGGTGACTAGGATCCCCCCAAATAAGGAGCCAGTGAGAAAGTGGCCGGGGGCCCAGAGGGGGTCCCCGTACAGCCCCAGACTTGCAGGTTTAACCCTCTGGTGCCCTTACACCCCAGGCCCTCTGTTTCTCGGGCGGCTGTGAATCTGCTGGCGCCCCCTGAGGGCTGCGAAGCATGAGCTGGGAAAACCCCCAGGCCTCTGGGACCTCAGGCTTTGTGCCATCGCGGGGCTGCCTGGAACCCCAGCCCCCAGCCACGCCCAGCAACCACAGAGGCGTTTCTCTGAGGGCTGAGATCTGCCCGAGATCTGGGGACCCACTAACCTGAGACCCGCTCCTCTTTTGCAAGGCATTCCAAGGGGGTCCCCGGGGGTGTGGCACCGGGGGTCTAAGAGGTGCGTCCCTGAAATCGGGTGATCTGGCCTCGCACATCCGAGGACCCAACAGTCTGGGCAGTCTGGGTTCGGCTGTCTGAGGTCCAGACTCCACCCCTGGCCGGGCCCAGCCAGAAGGCGTCGGGGGCGGGGGCGGGGTCGTCACCTCGGTGGGCGCGATCCCGAAGGCCTCGGCGATCTTGGCGTAGAGCTCGCGGACGTTGGTGAAGCCCTCGATCTTGCCCGTGGGGCTGCCGTGCGCCAGCTGCGTGCGGAAGACGAGGCGCGGGCGGGCGCGGGG